TCATATTATCACAAGCAGTAAAAAAAGGCTGAATTCTCAAATGTGTTCAACAAAAGCTATGACAGAAAGACAGAAGTCTCCAGGACTTTGTTGTACTTTCTTGATAGTTGATATATCACATTGGACAAAAATATAAGAAAGCTGAAGTTTTCCAGAGGAATAAAAAATGGATCCCAGAAATAAATCTTCACATGTATTGTCTAATGATTTTCAAGAATGCCTAGACCATTTATTGAGAGAAATTTCAGTCTTTTCAATGCACCATGTTGAGATACCTAGGTATTTGCATGCAAGAGAATGAGGTAGGGCCCTTAGTGATACCATATACAAAAATTAACTCAAAATGGATCAACAATCTAAATGTAAGAACTAATATTATAAACCCTTAAAACAGAAGACATAACAGGAAATTGTAATAACATGGAATTGGGCAATGATTTCTTTGATATGACTCCAAAAGCACCATCAGTAAATGAAAAAACAGATAAATTAGGATCCATCATGATTACAAACTGTTGTGCATCAAAGGATATTATCAAGAGTGAAAAGATAATCCATAGAATGGCCAAAAATATTTAAAATAATCTATCTAATGAGGGACTAATATTAGGAATATATAAAGAACTCTTACAAGTCAGTAACAACAACAAAACAAATGATTTCATTTAAAAATGGGCAAAGTAGTTGAATATTTTTAATGCATCTTTGAGGAAATGTAAAGCTGGGGAGCAGGCTAGTAAGCACAAGAAAATGTGTGTTTTTCACATATTAACGTTACTATATCCTGGGGGAAATACAAGTAAAAACCATAATGAAATACCAATTTGTACCTATTAGGATGGCTATTACAAAGAAAATTCAAAGCATATCGAGTGTTGACCAGGATATGAAAAAACTGGAACTCTTTGCATTACTGGTGAAAATGTAAAATAATGTGGTCTTTGTGGAAAACATCATGCTGGTTCTAAAAATATTAAACACAGAATTAGCATATCATCCAGGAATTCCACATCTACGTATATGCCCAAAAATAGTAAAAGCAGAGACTCAAGCAGATATTTCTTTTTATATATATATATATATACTTTAAGTTCTAGGGCACAACGTGCAGGTTTGTTACATATGTATACATGTGCCATGTTGGTGTGCTGCACCCATTAACTCGTCATTTACATTAGGTATATCTTCTAATGCTATCCCTACCCCCTACCCCCACCCCACAATAGGCCCTAGTGTGTGATGTTCCACTTCTTGTGTCCAAGTGTTTGTCATTGTTCCAATTCCCACCCTATGAGTGACGAACCAAATGCCGGTGTTTGGGTTTTTCTGTTCTTGGTGATAGCATTGGCTGAGAAATGATGGGTTTTCCAGCCCCTGCATCCATGGTCCCCACAAAGACCACGAAACTCATTTCCTTTTTATTATGGCTGGTATAGTATTCCATGAATGTATAATGTTGCCACATTTTCTTTTTTTTTTTTTTTGAGACAAGAGTCCCCTTGCTCCAGTTGGCCCAGGATGGAGTGCCAGTGTCGTGAATCTCGGCCTCACTGCAAGCTCTGGGGGAACGCCCGGGTCCAACGCCATTCTCCCCTCCTCCTGGCAGCCCTAAGGCAGCTGGGACCTCGCAGGCACGACCCGCGGCTATGGCCCAGCTAATTTTATTTTTTTTTTTTTTTTTTGTATGTTTAGTAAGAGACGGGAAATTATCACCAGGTTAGCCCAGGGACTGGGTCCCCCCATCTCCTGACTTGTGATCCACCCGTATCCGACCTTCCCAATATTGCTGGGATTACAGGCATAGCCCAAACCCGTTGAACTGACCGTGCCACATTTCCATTAATCCCCCAGTCCCTATCACTGAATGGACATTGGGGTTAATTCCCAAAGTCCCTTTGCTAATTGTGAATAGTACTGCAATAACAAAAATACGTAGGTGGCATTGTGTTCCTTTATATCCCAAAGCATGATTTAATAATCCCCTTTTTTGGGGTATATACCTAGTGGATGGGATGACAGGGGTCAATGATTATTTCCTAGTTTCTTAGATCCTTGAGGAATCGCGAACACATAGGTTTTCCACAATGGTTGAACTAGTTTACAGTCCCACCAACAGTATAAAAAGTGTTCCTATTCTCCACATCCCTCTCCAAGCAACCTGTTGTTTTCCCTGATTTTTAATGATCGCCATTCCCTAAGCCTGGGTGGGGACGATGGTATCTCCATTGTGGTTTTTGATTTGCATTTCCTCCTTGATGGCCAGTGGAAATGATGAAGCATTTTTTCATGTGTCTGTTTGGGCCTGTTATGAAAATGTCCTTCTTTTGAGAAATGTCTGTTCCATATCTTTGGCCCCACGTTGTGAATGGGGGGTTTGTTTGTTTTTTTTCATTGTAAAATTTGTTTGAAAAGTTCTTTGGTAGGTTTCTGGATATTAGCCCCTTTGTCTGATGAGTAAGATTGGGCAAAAAAATTTTTCTCCCATTCTGTAGGTTGCCTGTTCACTCAGATGGTAGTTTCCTTTGCTGTGCAGAAGCTCTTTAGTTTAATTAGATCCCATTTGTCAATTTTGGCTTTTGCTGCCGTTGTTTTAGGTGTTTTAGACATGAAGTCCTTGCCCATGCCTATGTCCTGAATGGTATGACCTAGGTTTTTTTCTAGGGTTTTTATGGTTTTAGGTCTAACATTTAAGTCTCTAATCCATTTTGATTTAATTTTTGTATAAGGAGTAAGGAAAGGATCCAGTTTCAGCTTTCTACTTATGGCTAGCCAATTTCCCGGCACCATTTATTAAATAGGGAATCCTTTCCCCATTTCTTGTTTTTGTCAGGTTTATCAAAGATCAGATGGCTGTAGATGTGTGGTATTATTTCTGAGGACTCTGTTCTGTTCCATTGGTCTGTATCTCTGTTTTGGTACCAGTACCATGCTGTCTTGGTTACTGTAGCCTTGTAATATAGTTTGAAGTCAGGTAGCATGATGCCTCCAGCTTTGTCCTTTCGGCTTAGGATTGTCTTGGCAATGCGGGCTCTTTTTTGGTTCCATATGAACTTTAAAGCAGTTTTTTCCAATTCTGTGAAAAAACCATTGGTAGCTTAATGGGGATGGCATTGAATCTATAAATTACCTTGGGCAGTATGGCCATTTTCACAATATTGATTCTTCCTATCCATGAGCATGGTATGTTCTTCCATTTGTTTGTGTCCTCTTTTATTTCACTGAGCAGTGGTTTGTAGTTCTCCTTGAAGAGGCCTTTACATCCCTTGTAAATTGGATTTCTAGGTATTTTATCCTCTTTGAAGCAATTGTGAATGGGAGTTCATTCATGATTTGGCTCTCTGTTTGTTACTGGTGTATAAGAATGCTTGTGATTTTTGCACATTGATTTTGTATCCTGAGACTTTGCTGAAGTTGCTTACCAGCTTAAGGAGATTTTGGGCTGAGACAAAATTGGGGTTTTCTAAATACACAATCATGTCATCTGCAAACAGGGACAATTTGACTTCTTCTTTTCCTAACTGAATACCCTTGATTTCTTTCTCTTGCCTGATTGCCTTAGCCAGAACTTCCAACACTATGTTGAATAGGAGTGGTGAGAGAGGGCATCCCTGTCTTGTGCCAGTTTTCAAAGGGAATGCTTCCAGTTTTTGCCCATTCAGTATGATATTGGCTCCGAGTTTGTCATAAATAGCTCTTATTATTTTGAGATACGTTCCATCAATACCGAATTTATTTAGAGTTTTTAGCATGAAGCACTGTGGAATTTTGTCAAAGGCCTTTTCTGCCTCTATTGAGATAATCATGTGGTTTTTGTCTTTGGTTCTGTTTATATGCTGGATTATGTTTATTGATTTGCATATGTTGAACCAGCCTTGCATCCCAGGGATGAAGCCCACTTGATCATGGTGGATAAGCTTTTTGATGTGCTGCTGGATTCTGTTTGCTAGTATTTTATTGAGGATTTTTGCATCTATGTTCATCAGGGATATTGGTCTAAAATTCACTTTTTTTGTTGTGTCTCTGCCAGGCTTTGATATCAGGATGATGTTGGCCTCATAAAATGAGTTAGGGAGGATTCTCTCTTTTTCCATTGATTGGAGTAGTTTCAGAAGGAATGGTAGCAGCTCCTTCTTGTACTCAAGCAGATGTTTCTATACCCAGGCTTATAGCAGCATTATTCACAATAGCCAAAACATGGAGAACCCAAAAGTTTATTGACAAGTAAATGGATAACCATAATAAGGTGTAGAGATACAATGGAAGATTATTCACCCTTGAAATGAACAATCCTGTCGCACCCTATAATGTAGATATAAACTGAAGACCTTATGATCAGTGAAATAAGCCTGTCACAACATGACAAATATTATACGATTCTGCTTCTATCACATACCTAGAGTAGTCAAACTCAGAGTCAAAGTAGAATGGTGGTTACCAGGGGCTGAGTTCTGCTTCCATTAGTACCTAGGTTAGTTAGATTCATGGAGTCAAAGCAGAATAATGGTGGTTCCCCTGGGGAGAGGGAAAAATGGTGGATTAATATTGAGTGGGTAAAAAATTTCAGTTTTGCAGAATGAGAAAGTTCTGAAGCAGGGTGGTGGTGATGGTTGCACCTCAATGTGTATGTACTTAATGCAGTTCACAAAAAGAAATATGATACACTAAAATAGATTATGTTATATAAGTAAATATTAAGTATACATGAAGGGATTATAAGTAAATTTATGTCAATAAATATGTATTTTTATGTCAATAAAATAAGTACATTTATGACAATATTACATATTGTCAATGATAGTGTATTGTCAATTGTAAGTGTATTGACTTGACATACAAAATGTGTAATGCACTTTGGGGCCCAGTCAGAGAAGGCTAAAAACACTTTTAAATTCAAATATATTCATTCTTTAACTGTGTTGAGTTCTAAATTTCTATAATTCAAATTCTGGTATGATTTGATCATTTTTCAAATAGTTAAAAAGGTACTCTCATGTTTTCAGATAAAAGTGTACCCTTGTTTCCAAAACAACGTGCTGCTCCTAAAAACAATGGTCTTTTGATCAGTTTCTACATTTTTTCACCTTTGCTCATTTTAATTGCTATTGTTAGTCTTAAATGGAATAAAATGAAGAGATTTTGGAGTAAAGTGGGAACAGTAAGCAGCAGGTAAGTAAATGTATTATTTTTAATTTAATATTAAAATTGATTATGGGAAGAATTCAGTGCAATTCAGAATCCAAGAAGGGACTCTGGGGTGGATTGGATTAATGTTTCGAAATATTGAGTAAGCTCGCCTGTAATCCTAGCACTTTGGGAGGCCGAGGCAGGCAGATTGCCTGAGCTCAGGAATGTGAGACCAGCCTGGGCAACACGGTGAAACCCCACCTCTACTAAAATACAAAAAATTAGCCGGGCGTGCTGGCATGCACCTGTAGTCCCAGCTGTCCCAGGTACTTGGGAGGCTGAAGCAGGAGAATTGCTTGAACCCAGAAACTGGAGGTTGCAGTGAGCCAAGATCATGCCACTGCACTCCAGCCGGGGCAACAGAGTGAGACAAGAAATATTGAGTAAGTTCTCAGCATATAACAGTTTTTTGTTTGTTTTTTGTTTTGTTGTGTTGTGTTTTTATTTCAGTCATCTGAGTATCTTGCATGTTCTTACAGAGCCAAGAACAATTAAAGCTATTCAGTAAAGCCTCATTGCCTTTCACATAGAAATTCAAGTTCTCTGCAATTGTTTAGGAAGTTCTGTTGACTTCTCAAAGAACCCCATTTCTCTTGCATTGACAACCAGTTGTGCCAAAAGGTCCACAGAAACAGTCAGGGAAGAAAATTTTGTGAATAGAATATGTAGAAGGTAAGAAAAATAGGATATGGTACAGAATGAGGGAGAGAACTCGGATAGGACACTTTGTATTTTGTGCATAATTAATATGGCTCATGTTTTTCGGAAATTATAGGTAAGGTAACTTGTACAGCTTTTTTTTTTTTTAACTCTAACACCACATCAAACCATAATTTGCTTTATGAATATGTAGGGATTTGAGAATTCAAAAGGAAGAACAAGTGGGATCATTGATTAAAACTGACAAAATCTGATCACAACAGCCTAAGTTTTACAACAGTAAGTGGTTTCAGGGCCGCCAGGGTAAGAAATGAAGTAGGGCTGAAGCAAAAAAGGATAGCAATGAACCAGATGATCAGGTACTAGGTCATTCTCTTTAGCAGTCGAAGGCTTTATAATTGACGTCACCCCTTCTTGTCTATGTCCGTTGTTTCCAAATTGACTCCTCTGCTTGCACTTGGCCACTTGATACATATTAATTGATTAATTAGTGCCAATCTAGCTTTTTAAACTTTTCTTGATTTCGCTCAAGATTACAGTGTTTCCTAATGTTATCTCTTTTATACAGATCTATCTCAGAAGACAGCAGTAGTAACAACAGCCAGTCACAGAGTTAAAGGTGATGTGAAATAATCAAATTGTTAAGAATATAACTCATGGAGTAGTTTTTTACTTTTAGCAATACCTCAGTATGAAAAAACTATTATTCCCATATTTCATCATCTCGACTCCTATTTATTAATACCATATAGTAAAACAAAGATAAGAGAATATATTTGATGTTAATCATGTTTTATACTTATTTAGAAATATTTAATGTCAACTAATATTAGCCAGAGATGTATTGAACAACATTTTTGTAATAAGGAATGGTGTTACAGAGATTATAAATATTTTTGTAAAATATTCATAAACAATCATACCACCTCTGGCCTTATTTAAGGTTCTCATTGGGCGATTTACACAGATTGTCTCTCCACATTTACGATGATTGATCCTTACTAAAATGCCATAGATATTGTTACCGGTATTTTAGAGATGAGGAAATGGATAAAAGGAAATAAATTGATTCCCCAAGAAAATAGAATTTTAGTGAGTATTATAGTGGAGTTTAACTTAAGACAATCGGACTTCAGAATTTAAACTCTTAAGATTGCCACAGTCTTGAACAAATATAGCCTGATATATGACTGGGGATTGGGAATGGAATTTACATCGATTGAGACACATGAGATGCCAGGCAAAATGTTAAATGCACCTTTCTTCAAAGGCAGAAAGATACTTTTAAAAAAATTTTTAACATGGGATAAAATAGGCATTCATATATATTGTTCAAAGTTCTAATTCATATGTGTAAAGAAATAATTGTATTTGATGTGTTAGGCCTATCACTGGGAGTAAATGGAAAATTCAAAACTTCAACCATGAGTGAGATCAAGAGTTCATCTAATTGCTTAGCTGCCATTCCCTCATATCTGACTTTGTTGACAGTTAAGTCAATGGATCTCTGTTTCCTTATCTGCCACTAAGCATTGGGAATTAGAGAGACACTAGGGCCCAAGCTTTCTTATTTTAAATTGTAAGTGGATCATCATAAATACTACTCCCCTTATCCTAGGAAAAAGTCAAAACCAGACATCCAGGCTTTCCCAGAGATAAAGATAGAGCTTTTCCATTCCAGCTGCACACCAAATCTACCCCACACAGGCATATATTGGCATTATCCATGCAAATATCTTCACAGCAGCTTTCAAAACATATATATGTTATATGATGCTAAAATAAGTCAGGAATGTTGGAGAAATATCAGGGATGTCATTCTATCTGGAGAAGAGTTACCAAGAGGGTTGCAGTTGTGATGAGGTCAGAGAAGTAACACCCATGGAGGGTCTTGGCGCTCTTGGAGGCCATCTGTCTTACTTTGAGTGAAAAGGAGGAATCACTGGATGGTGCATGTGACTTACACTTTAAAAAGCTGCTTTGTTGAAAACAAAACAGCTATATGATGGCAAGAGTAAATGTGGAGAAACTATTGCAGTAATCCAGGAGAGAAAAGATGGCGCTTCAGACCGGGGTGGTAAGGATGGTCTTATGGATACATTTTGAAGGTAATGCAACAGAATGTACTGACAGTTTGGATGCAGAATGTAAGAAAAAAATGCTTAAATAATATGGCTATTGATAGACAGCAGGAAAATAGCAAGGCTAAAAAGTAAAACCACCCCTCTTTATTTACAAAATTTTGGCTTTTTTTTTTTTTTTTTTTTTTGAGATGGAGTCTCACTCTGTTGCCCAGGCTGGAGTGCAATGGTGCAATATTGACTCACTGCAACCTCTGCCACCTGGGTTCAGGTGATTCTCCTGCCTCAACCTCCTGAGTAGCTGAGACTACAGGCACACACCACCACACTCAGCTAATTTTTGTATTTTTAGTACAGACAGGGTTTCACCATGTTGGCCAGGGTAGTCCCGATATCCTGACCTCATGATCTGCCCGCCTCGGCCTCCCAAAGTGCTGGGAATTTGCAAGTTTATGAATGCTGAGATGTAAAATCCATGTAGGTAACCATGAGCCAAAATAAGTATCTTGTATGTCACAATGAGGAGTTTAAATATTCTTCTATATGACCAAGAACGTAGGTAAGGTACTTTTCAAGATGGTAAGAAATGGATTTGGTACTATATGTCTTGCAGTTTACAAATTTCACTGGGATAAAATAGGGAAAGTAGATTCAGTCGCAAATGGAAAGTAGTGAAGCTGTTAAGAGACTGTTGAATGCACAGGAAAGGTGTGATGAGGACAGGATTGGAGAGGAGGAAAAGCACAAAAATGTTTTCAGAACTTTGAGTGAAAAGGAGGAATCACTGGATGGTGCATGTGACTTACACTTTAAAAAGCTGCTTTGTTGAAAACAAAACAGCTATATGATGGCAAG